TGTCTGTACGCTAATGAGTCCATTCCCTGCTCGCTTCGAACATGTGATCAAACTAATAAGCATGCAGGTTTCACTTCGCATGAGGATTTCAGAGCCAATCTAGGCGCTTGCATCAGAACCTTACGCAACTTCTGTCTCTTCCTCTGTCTCTCTCTCTCTCATGCACGCACACACACACACACAGAAATGGAGCTAATGGATAGCGTAACTCATTGAATGACATAGTATTTACAAGTAGTGTCGGACAATCAAACGCTTCATTAGCCCCCGAACGCGTGCACACACACACACACACAAGATAAACAGAAAGTGTGGCGACACAAAAAGCAATTCCTTATTGTTTATTATTGAAACCAGCCCCGAGTAGTTTAATAAAACCACCGCGGGTGAAGCAAAACTGTCGCAGAAATGTCAGGTAGCATTCCGGGCGCTCGCTCGCTCGCACACGTGAGTGCGTGCGTGTGCAGTTCGTGATCAGTCGCGAACTACTCGGTACCGAAGAGTGATCTCCGATTGGTGATGAATCGGAATTCGCTTGTCCGGTTTTTGTAATCTGTACGGTATTCTCGTTGTTGGCAGTTCACCCAAACCGATTCTGATCGGGCCATGTGGTTCAGTCCTCCTTCCACCTCCTATACATTGTCGTCGTCCTCATCCTAGTTTATCGACGGTCTTTCATCCGTGTTCGGTATTGGCGGTGATGGCCAAGTGGTTGGGTAACCAACTTGTGACCTGTGTGTCCCGGGTTCAAACCGCTCCACCGCCGCCCGTCCTCCCAGGCAACTTTTGTATGGCCGCGGCCCCTCTTCCTGGATGTTGACTGTACATTTGTATATGCAATGAATAAAAGAGGAAGTAAAGAGACGTTTTTGGTTCATCGTCAGTTATATGTGTGATCGACGCTACAGTTTGTCCTGATTTGATCTGAAGAGTACCAAGCTCGGGACCAATTCTGTGCAGTATGATGGATTCAGGCTGGTTCGTTCTCATTGACCAATAGAAAGCCATTAAAGTGAGAAGGGAATAATTTTATTTCCTTGGACCACAAACCAGCACTCTCGTATCTAGCCAGTTAGTGTGATCATTTTGTATCATCCCTGGAATTGGTAGATGGTGTGATTTTGTTTTTGGCATTGTTTGAATTTAGTGCAATTTGCTGGAGATAGGCGATCAGTTAGTCCATAACTTTACTAATACTGTGCTTATTACTAATGAATAAAGTGTTTCTTCTTCTATGTTGCTCTTCAGGCTAAGTCAGGATTTTTGATGATCTTGGGTGTGGGTTTCACTCCATGGGAGATTGTTAATTCCCTACGAGATAAATGCATTCAAATGCAATGGAAATGTTTGTGACGGCCGACAAAGAGCACCGGGACAGCTGTTTCTTTTTGTTTGGGACTCGTCAGCGGTGCGCCACTTTTTGTGTCCCTGTCAGAATTTAAACCGCGATTAGTCGGGTCGGGACTTCAAAACCTTACCCCTAAGCTACACGGTCGACGGTTATCACTTTGTGCGAATGGCTCAATCAATTTAGAGTGTCAAGCTTGGATTAGGCCATTGAATTGTTCAGAGGTACCATCGTATTTAAATGCATTCAACTTGTGCGGAGTTAACGATCTCCCAAGCAGTGAAACACACCCAAGATCATCAAGAGAGCCTGGTGCCTCCGAACAATTGAATGGGCTAGTCCAAGCTTGCTACTCTAAGTAAGGATAAGTTGAATGCGAAGAAAAAGTTTTAGGCTCTTTCGAACAAATACATGGAATAGATATCATTCTTACGTTTTCCTGAACGTCATCATGCTGAATGGTTCTGGATGGTGACTGAAGTGGACGGGTCCGTGTTTCCCGTCCGTATTCCTTTGGCTGTGCTGATAACTGCGATCCACAGAATGCTTTTGTACAGTATCTCCATTCATGTGATGAATTGATTTACCGATTAAGACTACTGTCCAAACTGATGGATACATGAAAGTTCTGTTCTCTTCTCTTCTGTATTTTAACTCAATATTTTATTGTATTGTATTGCATTGTATTGTTTCAACCCAAAATGCCAGTGCTATTCTGTGTAGAAAGCTTGACGTTGGTGCTCCATACATGAACTATCTGGACTATTTTCTCTTGAAATCAGAGTAAATCATTCTATGGACAACTTTGTGCTCCTCTCGTTGATTCTGTTGGTCCACAATTGGACCTGATAGCCTAACGTTTGCACACTCATGAATGAGCTTGCATAGTGTTGAATTTACCATGGGTATTGATCGAACAGCTGCAACAGGACTGTCTGACGTGTGCTATATAGACAGATATGAGTGACGAGTATTATTTATTCCCAACTTTATCTCCCAGTGCAATGTTTTTAGTTCTCTTTTGTATCACCTTAAGTATCGTGATAAAATTTGTCAGACTTCGAAAGTTGCAGCTCAGATTTGGGAAATATTTTATGCAAAGCAGCATTGGAGTTCATACTTTTTCGTGTGGGTGTTTAGTCTGGTCAATACGTGTGTTGTAACTAACTTATCTTTTTCCGTTTTCCTGAAAATTTTCTATCTGAAGTAAATTGACAAATTATGTGGCAAAGTAAAACCTACCCTCGTAATATCCCTGATCCTGAAGGAACTAAAAATCTATTATAAAAAATATCAGTGTTGACCTTGAGGTGTACGGCCGTTCAATAAGCGTTTCTGTGTCATAATACTCAATTGGGATTAAATCTCTGAGAGTTTTGACATACAGTTGGGGCCGAGAGGCAACTTATTCACGAGGTGCATAAATCCGACAACTCAGTTCCTGACTTGTGCTAGTTCTGTGATAATAACATAAGGCCACTTTATCATATAATCAACCCAAATGGGTGGTGGTGGAGCGGTGGTTTAGTCACTGTCAGTGGCATGCTTTGGGCACTATGGTTCGAGGTTCGAATCCCGCCATCGCCACCCAACTTTGGTGTTAGACAGTTTTGCTGTCGTCCGGTTCAATACCACGCCTGAGCTATCGGGGTCTTGTGTGGTTCGCCAATCCAAGTCCCGGGGCTTAGGTTACCGGGTTCCATGTGTCTGAACTCTCTCTCTGCTTTAACTCTGACACTGCTTTGAGCATTCTTCAATCTTCTCTTTACTCTTTCATCCAAATGGGAACTTACGAGACCGGAGGTAGAACCAGCACGAGACGGAGCATGGCTAATGATTGTCAAAACGGACACGGAGACGGGCACAGTTGAGGGAGAAGAAGAGGTAGAAAACAATCCAATCCGTTCATTCATGATTCTTATTGATGTACCCGCATGAGTGAGAGGGAGACGCGTGCGAAAGTTTCCATGATTGGCATTCAGTTCACAACGTTTGGTTATATTGCAGTAGATAATTATTTTTTCCTCTTGCGTATGGTGTTGTTTATAAATTGCGAGTCGATTATCACCAATCAAATAGTTTTCTTAGAGGATTAATTTGGCTACCCTCCTATGAGGCCGTTCTCCCATAGACTACTGCGGGTGTTTTTTATTGTTGAGATTGTGAAAAGTTCAGTGGCCTCGGTGGGAATCGGACCCACGCGTGGCCGCCATCTACGCTTTTGCACAGCGCAAACTCTACCAACTGAGCTACAAGACCATGCTTTTCACAATCTCAACATAAGAACTTCATTAGAAAACAGCGATGTGGCGAACAAGTTTGGTTTCAGTGCTTTATCTACTGGCCAGCAGCACAGCACATTATATAATAACTCAGGGAAGTAACATAGGATGATGTATTAACACTGACCGCATGATTGGTGATAATCCCTTGCGGAGTGTGAATACTCGACTGATATTGTGTTAGGTGGGGGCACTTCGGACACACGACCATGGAAGAGAAAGGGATTTAACGAACTGTTTGTTGGCACATAACGGGGGTTTGTTTATTCTAATTTGCTATCGTCTCTGCTGTAGATAACAATTGGTCTTTCACATCCTTAGACCGGATCCCCGTCAGTAAACAGATCAGACATTCACATTCATGATAATGATGATGATGAGGATGATGATGATGATGATGATGATGATGATTCGGATGATAATGATGATGATGATGATGA